TAGTTACTAACCCTCGCGAGGCAAGTCGCGGATTGTTTTCTCCAACGGCGCTTCAAGGTCATGATGTGAGTTTCTTCTGGCCTTGCGGGCCAACTGCGTGGTTGTTTTTGGGTCCCCACGGTCTTCAGGAGGGGCGAGCGCCCTGTGTCTTTGCAGTGTTTTCTTTCCCAGGGCATTCCCCAGTCCAGGAACTCAGCCATCCGATATTCTGATTTTTCAGTAGGGGGTCCGCTGAAGTCCCGACCCTTTCCCCAGGGCCGGTTTCTCACCCCGAGTCGACTTTTGACGGTCTCAGTGCTCGGTGAGGCCCCCTGGAGGCCGGAAAGTGGCAACAGCTTTCCGTCGTGTTTTCTCCGCGACGCGAGCATGTCTGGGATTGGCGAATACTGACGCCGCCGTGGAAAACTTTACGATTGGCTTCCGCTGACGAGGGGCCCCGGGCCGACATCGAGAGGAGGGTCTCCGCGGTGGACGGCTTGACCGTGAGGGAGTGCCTCGGCCGGCGCTTCCCGGACAGGCACGGCGTGGAGTGCGGCTACCGAAGAGGCGACCTCAAGTACGATATCTTCACCATCGGCCGCCTGCGCCTGGAGCTCAGAGGAGGAAAAGGTACCGATGCCGCTGCCCTTGCTAGGGGGCCAAATGCGAACCCTACCCCTACCCCCCACGATTTTTGAGGGGGAGGGTGGGGTTCACTTCGCTCGGGGGCTCCCGAACGATGTGACCCCACCCTCCCCCTCAGAACTCGTGGGGGGTAGGGGTAGGGTTCGTTTGTAGCCCCCTACTTTCCTCGTTTCTGCTTTCTCGGGGCATCCAGGGAGGCCCTGGTCGTCACGACTGGATTCGCCTCGAAGTCCTGGTCAGAACGCACTCCGGGAGATGTCTGGGGAGTAGCGGCATCGGTCATTCTTTGTTTCCCCAGGAGTTCCCCCCTGCCGTGAAAGCCGCGCCGTCTGCCCCGGTGGTGCCGCGGGCTGCGCCAGTGCCAGGCGCGGCCGCCGCCGACGCGGCTGCTTGCGCGGCCGACCAGGCGGTCGTCGACGCCGCTGGCAGTGACGCCGCGGCTGTCGGCGTGGGCGCAGCCGCAGGCGCGGCCGGCATCGTGGCTGGCGACGGGCCCGACGAGCGGCCGCCGCAGCGGCCCGGCAGTGCTCGCAAGGTGGCGCGGCGCGCCAGCCTGGCTGGCGCAGGTGGTGCGGCTGGCAGCCGGGCGATCGATGCGGCCAGCGGCGGCGTTCGCGTGGCGCAGCCCACGCTTCCTCTGGCGCGGCGTGCCGGCGTCAAGAGCGCGAGGGCCAGGACGGGCTCCAGGTGCCCCAGCCACGGCGAGCAGGGGCGCAGCCGCAGCGCCCGCCGGGGGCGCCCGCGAGGCGAGGCCAGGGTGCCGCCTGGCGCGCGGGGCGCCGCGCCGGTCAAGCAAGAGCCAGGGCCCCTTGGCGGCGCCGCGGAGTGCCACGAGTGGTCTGCCGCGTGGGACGAGGCCGGTGTGCGGGGCGCGGCCGCGGTCGCGGCCGCGGCGGGGCCGTCGGCGCCGCTTGGCCACGGGCTAGGCGGGGCCTCGGGTTATCCACATCTGCCGATTGGATTTTTCAATCCGCGGCCCCAGAGTTTCCGACCCCTTCCCCGGGGGCGGTTTTTCGCCCCTGAACCGTTTCTGATGGTCCCAGGGCACAATAACGGGCTCCAGAGGCCGGAATCAAGGAACGTCGCGTGGATGGAAAAAACCGCACTGTCAGAGATCCGAGGAGCCGCGTGGGACGAGGCCGGTGCGCGGGGTGCGGCCGAGGCCGTGGCCGGGCCGTCGGCGCCGCCAGGACGCGGCAACGTGCCAGGCGGGGCCCCAGAAGAGGCAGCAGCGGGCGGCCGCAGCGGCCAGCGGCCCGAGGCCGAGGGGCGGCGGCCGTGCACGCGGCGCTGGCGGAGCGGCGCGCTGCGGGGCCTGCGCGTGGTGCACCGGCAGGCCTGCGCGAGGGCGTGAAGCTCTCGCAGACGTCAGAACAAAAGCATGTCCTCCTCCATGTCATGGATCGTAGATCCCCCGCGGCGGATCCAGGCCAGGTGCGAGCAGTGGAGCGCGCTTGGGCCTGGGCGCCCTCCCCGGGAGTCCTCACCAGGCCCTGGGACTGTCAAAGACGGTCCAGAGGAGGGAGTCCAGACCTTCCTGGGGGTCCACGCCGTTAAAAGAATTGGGTTTGTCGCTCATATTGGTGCCGCTCGCCCCGCAGGTTTGGACCCGGACTCGCTTTTAGTCCTGAGCCGTTTTTCTGAAAGGCCCAGGGCCTAGTGAGGCTTCCTGGAGGTGCGGGTGGGGAGGTGGGGTCCGTCGCTCATCCGAGTGGCGTTCTGCCCTTCAGGCGTGCTCCTGCGGCGTCTGCTTCGTGCACGACGCGAGATTCTGCCACGCCTGCGGCACGCCCCGGCCCGCAGAGACGCCTGTGCGCCGCGTCGCGCGGCGCATCGTTGGCAAGACCCGCGAGCACGCGCTGGCCACACCGCCCCGGCGCCCCGCCCCCAGCGCCGACGGCGTCCGCCAGGCTTCGAGTAGGAGATCCACTGCAGAATTGATGCGCCCCCAACCAGTTTTTCCCGCCGCGTCCAGATCATTTCGACGTACGCGTTTCGCAGATCCGACGAGCATTCCAAATCTGGGGTACGTCAATTCTGTATTCGATGTCCTAGTCGAAGGCCGCCGTCGGTGCCAGCGCTGGCGCCTGCGCTGGCGCCTGCGCTGGCAGCGCCCCGGCGGGCGCAGTCGGCGCTAGCGACCCGAGAGGCAGCGCAGCGCCTGCGGCGCCGCCCGAGCGCGCCGTCGGCGCATCGCTGCCCCGAGCGCGCCCAGCGGGCGGCGCAGGCGCCCGACCGCAGCCGGCGGGCGGAGCGGCGGGCGCGAGCGACGCCGGCGCCCCCGTTGGCGCCGCGCCGGCAGCTGCTGCAGGTGCTCCTCCTCCTCCTCCTCCTCCTTCTCCTCCTCTTCCTTCTCCTCCTCCTCCTCCTTTTCCTCCTCCTCCTCCTCCAGCTCCTTCTCCTCCTCCTCTTTCTCCTCTTCCTACTTGGCTCGGGCGAAAGGTCCTCCTGCTCTGCCAGCTTCTCGCCCAGCCTGTCCGTTGCCATGTTTGCTCTGGGCATGGGAGCTGGCCAAGCTTCCGTGCCCGCTTGAGACGCGCCTTCATGTATCTTCCCGGTTACTAGATTCCACTCCGCCTTCACGATGATATTGGAAAATGCGCCCTTCACTTTCTACATCTTCATTGCTAGTTGGTAGCGGAGCAGGTTCACCCTTGTTCCCACCACGACCGCCATGATTCGCCTCGCGTCAACCGCAATGGTTTCCACCCTCCGCCGCCTTCGACTTCGGGCCTTCAGCATCTACGCCTTCGTGCACTTCTTTGCATTCGTTTTAGCAGGAGACATTACTTTAGGGTCCGTCGGAGCTGTGCAGGCCCATCCGCGATGACCCGCGACCAGGAGCGTGCACACCGCCTTCAAAACCTCCGCTTTCGTGCACTTCTTCCCGCTCGCTGTGGCAGGAAACGTTACTCGAGGGTCCGTCGGGGCATCCGCCCATCCGCCAGGACCAGCGACCGATAACGTGCGCAACCACTACCTCATCAAGAACAACATCACCAAGATCTACAAAGACAGCTCTGCGACCCAACCCAGGCATGTTCGGACTGTGTCCAGGCAGTTCGCGGACCCCAAACAGTCAGTGTCCCCGCCCGTGGGGGTAGCCTTAGGAGGTAGCTTTAGGTGTTAGACATTTGCTCGACACAACGCCCACATTTGCGGCGTCGGAACAAGGCCCCGAACTTCTTCGGACTGTCTCGAGAGCCCTGGGCGAAGCAGGCAGGGCAGGTGCAGCCGGCGACTGCGTCGCCGGTGACGTGTGGGGGCGCAGCGGGGAGCGTGGGAATTGCGATCCCACCCCCCCGAATTAATGCAGTGGAGGGCATGGCGACTGGGGCGCCATCGTTCCGAGGCGCCGCGCTTCGGGTCCCGGCCCTTCGCTTTGCCCATTAAGGCCTGCCAGCCGGCGGGCAGGACGGGGTCCCGATGCGCACTCCGCTAGACGATCGCTCGCCTGGCGGTGCTCAGTCGGCGTCGAGCCCAGGATCTCCGGTGCCTCCGGGCAGTTCGCTTGGGCCGGAGACGCATCTGCGGCCCTCTCCTGGGCGGCTGGCTCGGGGGCTTGACCTAGGTGACACATTGCCGCGGAATCAGTGCAGACCACCGTCTCTGTGGGCCAGCTCGGGGGGGCAGTGTGGGCAGATTCAAGCGAGGTGGAGGGTGCGACGGTGTCGGGAGGATCAACAGTGAACTATCGGGCCGTCGAAATGGCCCCTCTTGATCGGTTGCCGCCGCGGCGGCGACAGGCCTGCGTTCCAATTGATCGCGATCCGGCTCGTTCGCGAGAATATGTACATTGGTCCGCGGTCTAAGCGACCGAATATGAATGTGCATCCGTGCGCGCATCCAGCGCGCCGCGCAATGGCGTGCCTGGGCGCTTCGGGAGTGATGCTGCGCAAGACCTTCACTTATGATGCTGACGCCCAACAAAGAAATGTGTATGCGCCGCGTTTTCGCTGCGTTGACCCAATTCGATTGAGTGCCTGATGGGTTTGTCCGCTCGTCACGCTGTAGCGCCCATGAGAATGTCATGTCATGAGGGCAAGAGCAAATCGCAAATGGCCGTGTCTCTCTCGCGCGCGCGCGGACGAGCAGGCGGCGCGCGCGCCGTGGCTCTTGCGCGGAAAGGGAGCGGGGGGAGGCGAAGGGGGCGCGCTGGCCTGTGGGCGGGGTGGCGGGGGGGGCGAGGGGGCGCGCTGGCTGGCGGGCGGGGCGACGCGGAGGGCCGTGCTGGACGTGGGTGGGGGCGTCGGCGCCGCGCTGAAATAAAAAGGCCAGGGCGGAGGGGGCGCTCTGGCTCGCGGGCAAGGGGGTGCGCGGGATGTGTGGTGGCGGTGGCGGGTGGGGGTGGGGGTGGGGGGGGGGGGGGGGGGCTGTGTCGCGCTGCAGCGCGGGGGTCGGGGCGGGGGGGGCGCTGGCTGGCGCGTGGGGTGGCGCAGAGGTGGCGCCCGGGATGGCGGGGCGGTTCAGCGCCGAACGGTCGGGGCAAGGGGGCGCGCTGGCTAGCGAGCGGGGGGGCGCAGAAAAGGGGGCGCGCGGGGCGAGGGGGGGGGTGCTGTGCCGTGCTGAAATGAAGGGGTCGGGGCGGGGGGGGGCGGCGCCGCGCCGACGTGAAGGGGTTCGGGGCGGGGGGGCGCGCTGGCCTGCGGGCGGGGGGGCGCGGGGGGTGCGCGCGCGGGTGGGGGAGGGGCCGGGGCGGCGCTGTGCCGAAATGGAAAACGGGTCGGGGCGGAGGGGGCGCGCTGGTTGGCGGGTGGGGCGACGGAGGTGGCGCATGGGATGGGCGCCGTGCCGAAATGAACGGGGCGGAGTGGGCGCGCTGGCTGGCGGGCGGGGGGCGTGCAGACGGGGCGCCCGAGGCGGAGGGGCGCTCTGGCTGGCGGGCGGGGTGGCGCGCGGGGTGGGGGTGGGGGTGGCTGCGCCGTGCCGAAATTGAAGGGTCGGGGCGCAGGGGGCGCGTTGGCTGGCGGGCAGGGCGATGCGGAGGTGGTGGGCAGGAGGGGTGGGGCGGTGCCGTGCCGAGGTGAAATGGTCGGGGCGGAGGGGGGGCGCCGGCTGGCGGGCGGGGGGGTCTGGGGTGGGCGCGCGGGGTGGGACGGGGGGGCGGCGTGAAAAAAAAGAAGTCGGCTGGCGAGTGGGGCGACGCGGAGGGGGCGCTCGGGGCGGGCGGGGCGGTGCTCCAGTGGCGCGGCGCCGCGCAGAAATGCAGAGGTCGGGGCGGGAGGGGGCGCGGTGCCGTGGCTGAATAAAGTGGTCGGAGCCCTAGACGCCCTGTGCGAGAGAATGACAGGGTGGTCGGGGGCGGAGGGGGCGCGCTGGCCGCGGGCGGGGCGCGCGGTGGGCCGCGCCGCAACTGGAGGGTCGGGGCGGGGCGCGCCGGCTGGCGGGCGGGGGGGGCGCGACTCAGGGGGGGCGGCGGGGGGGGGGGTCCGTGCCGACGTGAAAGGGGTCGGGGCGGAAGGGGGCGCGCCCGCGGGCGGGCGGGGGGGGTGGCGGCGCGGGCGGCGCGGAGGGGGGCGCCCGAATGAAAGTGTCGGGGCGGAATGGGCGCGCTGGTTGGCGGGCGGGGGGGCGCGGGGGGGGCGCGCGGGATGGGGGGGCAGGGGGGGCCGCGCCGAAATGAAAGGGTCGGGGCGGAGGGGGCGCGCCGGCTGGTGGGCGGGGGGGCGCTGGGGAGGGGCGCGCGAGTGTGTGTGGTGTGTGTGTGTGTGTTGTGTGTGTGTGTGTGTGTGTGTGTGTGTGTGGTGTGTGTGTGTGTGTGTGTGGTGTGTGTGTGTGTGTGTGTGTGTTGTGTGTGTGTGTGTGTGTGTGTGCGTGCCGCGTGCGCGTGCGCGTGCGCGTGCGCGTGCGCGTGCGCGTGCGTGTGTGTGCGTGTGTGTGTGCGTGTGTGTGTGTGTGTGTGTGGGTGGTGTGTGTGTGTGTGGGCGTGTGTGTGTGTGTGGTGTGTGTGTGTGTGTGTGTGTGTGTGTTGTGTGTGTGTGGTGTGTGTGCGTGTGCGTGTGCGTGTGCGTGTGCGTGTGTTGTGTGTGTGTGTGTGTGTGTGGTGTGGGCGTGCGTGCGTGCGTGTGTGCGTGTGTGTGTTTGTGTGTGCGTGTGTGCGGTGTGTGTGTTGTGTGTGTGTGTTGTGTGCGGCGTGGCGGGGGGGGCGCTGGCTGGCGGGTGGGGGGTGTCCGGGGGGCCGCGCTGGCGGGTGGGGGGGCGCGGGGTGGCGCGCGGGGTGGGGGGGGGTGCGTGCCGAAATGAAAGGAATTGGGGCGGGGGGGCGCGCTGGCTGGTGGCGGGGGGGGGGGGGCGGAGGGGGCGGGCGTGGGGGGGGGGGGGGCGCCGAGCCGAATATAAGGCCGGGCGGAGTGGCGCGCTGGCTGGCGGGTGGGGTGGGTATGCGGGGGGGCGGGCGCTGGCCGGGGCGGGGGGTGGGCGGGCTGGGTGGGTGGGCGGGGGGGGGGGCGGGGTGCCGTGCCGAAATAGAAAAGTGTCGGGGCGGAGGGGGCGCGCCAGCTGGTGGGATGGGGGGGGCGCGGATGGGGGCGGGTGGGATGGGGGGGGTGCCGTGCCGAAATAACAGGGTCGGGGCGGAGGGGGGGCGCTGGCTGGCTGGTGGGTGGACAAAATTGAACGGGGGAGATGGGGGCGCGCTGGGGGCGCTCTGGCTGGTGGAATGGGTGGGTGATGGAGGGTGTGCCGTGCCGAAATAAAGTGGTCGGAGCTCTAGACACACTGTAACATATAATAAGCATATTATCGTCGGAGACGTGGGTGGCCTTGGAAGCAGGCTGCCGCGCCTATCAACGTGCTTCTCGAATCGGTTGAGCGGCCCTTGGTCTCCTCCTCCTCCTCCTCCTCCTCCTCCTCCTCCTCCTCCTCCTCCTCCTCCTC